CTTTATTGCCTTACTTAGAACAGGCTCAGGAATTGGAAGAATTTGAGACTGCAGATAGAATAACAACATTAGGCATGACATCTTGGAGAAGCTAAAAAAAAAAAAAAAAAAGCAGGGGCTAGCCAGAAGGAAGTCAGCGTAGTGTTAAGCTCACTGTATCTTGTGAATGGTAAACAATAAGAATCAAATTCCTTGTATTTAAATGATTATGCTATTTATAATATAGAAAAACATGATGAAATGCATTAAATAATACAGGAAACTAAAACCACTGAAGATATTTTAGCATTAGATATACTTTGTCAGAGAGAAATAGTCCATTGGTTGAAACTTGTACCTCGGTGTACCATTCGGAATGCTTAGGTTGTAAGCAATAGTAAACCTTTAATTACTCCAGCTTAAACAAGGAAGAAAGTTAGTATCACTTAAAACAAGATACACAGAGCTAGGGCAAATTCCAGTAACAATAAAATTACTAACTCAATGATACCATTATAGCTTAGACCATCAGTTCTCAAAACTGTTGGTCTCAGGACACTGTTTATGTGGGTTATTGGTTGCAGTAAAAATTAAAACTGAAAAATAGTCAATGTTGTTTTGTTTAAAGTATATGGAAAAATTAGTCTTATAGAGATATGTAGTTAGAAAAGGAAGAAGCATTTTAGTAGCTTTGTTAGATCATTGTAGATACTCTTTTTTTTTTTTTTAAAGATTTTATTTATTTGACAGAGAGAGACACAGCGAGACAGGGAACACAAGCAGGGAGAGTGGGAGAGGGAGAAGCAGGCTTCCCGTGGAGCAGGGAGCCCGATGCGGGGCTTGATCCCAGGACTCTGGGATCATGACCTGAGCCAAAGGCAGATGCTTAACGACTGAGCCACCTAGGTGCCCCATTGTAGATATTCTTGATACTACACTAAAACTCAAGATTAATTTCTTGAAGATTAGTTATAATGTGGATCTGAAACCATATCAGTGAACTTTTTATATTGTTATATCCATTGGTCTATCTTGCACCTTGCATGGATCTTTGACCCACACATAATTTTGTAAAGTCAAGCATTGGTCATTTGGAAAATATTAGTTCACTGAGCTATGCAGATCTTCCAAATATTGATACATTTCATTATACAATATCAAAATAATCTAATTAATATCACCACTGATCTTATCAGAAAAGTCTTTAAATATTGGGAAGCTATCAGTAAATATTGGGAAGATGTCAAGCTCACAGTGACAAACACAAATTTTCCAAAATTCTTTTATTTTTTTATTTGAGAGAGAGAGAGAGAGAGAGAGAGAGAGCATGAGCGGGGGAGGGGCAGAGGGAGAAGGAGAATTCCTGCTGAGCAGGGAGCCTGTTGTGGGACTTGATCTGGGATCATGACCTGAGCCAAAGGCAGATGCTTAATGACTGAGCCACCCAGGTGCCCCCAAAATTTTAATATTGCTCAAAAGCTTGACCTTTATCACTGGTAACAAATACTGTCCATTGTTTTCTCTGAAATGGCTCATTTTATCCAAGTTTGAGATAATGTCTACCAAATACTCAAGTTTAAGTCATCATAGTCTGTCAATCATTCTTTCAAGCAAAAATGGAGCTAAATTAGTTCACAACCCAAACAATCACACAGGTACTTTCCCTCAAGACAACCATCATACTTTCATATGCAGAGAAGGGATTTATGAATACTTGCCATTTTAAAAAATACAGATACCAAAAAGATGTGTATTCAAGGGTCAAAACTTAATAGAATTAAAATGTTTTACTTCATCAAAGACATTAAGTGAAGCTAGTTGGGTTTTTTTTTTCCTACACGTGCATGGTGCAATGCAAGAATACAATGATACGACTGTAGGGTGTACAATCTGTGCCAATGACGGTGCTACCTACCAGTGTTTTTGCATCATCGGTGCAAATGTCAGCTGCAGAGTCAAGGGCAAATAATACTTTAGTATTATTATACAGATAGTGTTGATCCCGTAAAACTCCTGAAAGGACCTTAGGGACTACACTATGAGAAGAGCAGGCTTAGGCTTAGCAAGACCCAGAGCACAGAGTGGGACCACTTTACCCTGAATCATGTAGGAGAGAAGTAGGTACTTAAACAAAACAAGGATTCTGTTAGGAAGAAAGAAGGAATAATGGATACTGGTAGACAATCAACAGTGCCCACAATGCGTGGCAACAATATATGGAAATATAGCACAGTTAATATGGTTAGCTGCTGTGGAATTAAACTAACAGTGATAAGCACCTTCCTAAGTAGTCATACATGCAGTGTGAAGTTGGATCCCCACCTCCGATCATATACAAAAATTAACTCAAAATAGATCAAAGACTTTACATGTAAGAACTAAAACTATAAAACTGTTACAAGAAACAAAAAGGTAACTTTTCATGACCTTGGGCATGGTGACGTTTTCTTAGATATGACACCAAAAACACAAGCAACAAAAGAAAAAATAGATGAGTTGAATTTCTTCAAAAATTAAACCTTGTAAATCAAAGGACACCATTAAGTAAGTGAAAAGGCAATCCACAGAATGGGAGAAATATGTGCAAATCATACATCTGATAAGGGTCTAGTATCCAGAATATATAAAGAACTCCTACAGTTCAACAACAAAAAGACAAACAATCCAATGAAACAAATGGACAAAAGGTTTTAATAGATAGACAAATAGCCAACAAGCACATGGAAAGATGATCCACATCACTGGTCATTGGGAAAATACAAACCCAAACCACAGTGGAATATTACTTCATACCCACGAGGTTGGCTATAATAAAGAAATCAAAAAATAACAAGTGTTAGTGAGGATACAAAGAAACTGAAACCCTCACAAATTGCTGGTGGGAATGTAAAATGGTTCAGCTGCTATGGAAAACAGCTTGGCAGTTCCTCCAAAAGTTAAACATAGAATTACCATATGACCCAGAAATTCTTCTCCTAAGTACGTACCCAAAAGAATTGAAAACAGGTGTTCAAGCAAAAGCTTATACACGAACATTCGTAACAGCACTATTCACAATAGCCAAAAGTTGGAAACAGCTCAAATGTCCATCAGTAGATGCATGGATAAACAAAATGTGGTATAAACATACGGGGGAATATTATTCAGCCATACAAAGGAAGGAAACGCTGACACATGCCATGACATAGACAAATCCTGAAAACATTATGCTAAGTGAAAAAAGCCAAACACAAAAGGACACATATCTTATGACTCCATTTACATGAAAATTCAGAATAAGCAAATCCAAAGAGCCAGAAAGCAGATTAGTGGTTGCCAGGGGTTGGGGAAGGGGAAATGGAAAGTGACTACTTAATGAGTACAGGATTTCCTTGTGGGATCATGAAAATATTCTGGAACTTTATCATGGTGATAGTTGTACCACACTATGAATGGACTAAAAGCTACTAAATTGTACACTTTTTAAAAAATGGTTACAATGGCGAATTTATGTGATGTGATTTTTTACCACAACTTAAAGAAAGCAAAAACAAAAACAAAACCTTCCTAAGGTTGCGTGATAGCAATTAAGTCCCAGAGAGGGTACGGCAAGTGAATTAGCACAGTGCTGGAAGTCTAAGTCCTGCAACTATTGCAGAGGGTAACCATCACTTAATCCACCAGCTTCAAACGGTACGAGGCAGGCAGTACCCGACAGAGAGACAAAGCTTCTACTAGACACAGCTGATAAGGCTGTAAGGCGGATGCAGCTGTACTCAGTGGCAATACACAAGTGCACTGATTGAAAAACAAGCAAGTAGGGCGCCTGGGTGGCTCAGTCGGTTGAGCGACTGCCTTCGGCTCAGGTCATGATCCCGGAGTCCCGGGATCGAGTCCCGCATCGAGTCCCGCATCGGGCTCCCTGCTCGGCGGGGAGTCTGCTTCTCCCTCTGACCCTCCTCCCTCTCATGCTCTCTGTCTCTCATTCTCTCTCTCGCAAATAAATAAATAAAATCTTTAAAAAAAAAAAAAGAAAAACAAGCAAGTAGGGGCACCTGGGTGGCTCAGTTGGTTAAGCGTCTGCTTTGGGCTCAGGTCATGATCTCCCCGTCCTGGGATCCAGCCTCACAGTGGGCTTCCTTCTCAGCAGGGAGTCTGCTTCTCTCTCTTTCCCTCCACCCTTCCCACTGCTCGTTTTCTCTCTCTCTCTCTCTCAAATAAATGAATAAAATCTTAAAAAAGAAAGAAAGAAAGAAAGAAAAACAAGCAAGTATACTACCCTGGAAAAAGAGAGCCACTCAGAATACACCTGGCATTGGATGTCACAGTGAAAACAGACCTTGAAAATATTCTCATTTTAGAGACTTTAAAAAATGTTTCAGAAATTTCAGGAAAGTTATGATGTGCTTAGGGGAACATAGCTGGCTAGTGAAAGAACCTGGTCCAAGAGAACCAACATGTCCTGCCTCTTTCTACCACAGGATCTTCCTAGTCAGAGCAATTCCATAAGCATCTTTCAGAATAGTTGTAACCTGAGTGTTTGTTACGCCAGGGACAACTGTATTCCCCCTCCATGTCCCCTCAAATATATGTACAAACAGAAACCTGCTAGCTATACTTTGAAAATAGCTCCCATCTTTGTGCTCTCAATCTTGGTTTGTGTCACATCCAAGTTAGAGAGCTGGCTTATCTGAGAATGCCCCCCTACTTTATCCAGAAACCAGTCACCACCAAACCCGCCAGTTCTCACTTTGGAACAGGGAGTGAATCTGGACGCTTCTCTGTTCTCAGCACCATTCCCTGACCTTTGGCTTGGACTGTTTCATGTACCTCCTAACTACCCAGGGTTACCCATGGCTACATCCCACACTGACTCGCAAGGCACATGAACTGTAGGTGGGGACTTAGGGAGTTCCAAACCCTATGACACTTGCTGTGGGTGGGATTGAATCTGGGTGCAGTAGTGTTCTCTTCCTTGGACCTGGTTCCAGATTAACTGTGACCATGAAATTAAGCTGTAAATTAGTTTAAAAGACTCTCACCTCAATGATGGCAATGGATGGCAAGACAAAGTCTTGATCATTGATTCCTTCAGACACAAAGAGAGAAAGATCTTGACTTAGTGGTACAAACACTGGATTCTCGGGTTTCCTTAGCAACCTGCCATCCTGCCCTCAGTGACAAATTGGAAGCTCCAATTTCCTTCTAGCTCTAAAAATTCTCATTCTATGAATATCTGTGGTTTTAGAGAGCCTACCCAAGGGGAGTGGTACAAAAGTTAAACTATTAACTATAAACTTAAATAGTCAAGTATTGACTATTTAATCAATAGTCTATTGATTGACTATTAAACTTGGACTATTAAAATAGGAGCAGGGACACAGATGGCTGGCTAGGAGGTAATTTGATGGAATTCAGGGAAATGGCAGGCTATATTTCTCCCATGGACAGAATATGATATCAGGAGTGTCCAATGGCGATTCTCAATTAACACAAATTTAAGTTCTGCTCTAGCCCACTCTGTTAACTAAGGCAGGGTCATGAGTACATATTAATTGAAAGCTTTCTTTTTAAAATAGCTACAAACTATGAATTTCAGGAATTTGGTGGTCATATTTCAGGGAAAATGTCATTATCCAGAACTATTCTCTGCCAGTGCATAATGAGCTATGACTGTATTGTACCCTGAGGAGCACCAGCTTTAAGTCCACACGTTCAGATGTTCAGACTTGAGGGCAGAGGTTCATGTTTGATCTGATCCTGCAGCATCTAGAAGGACAGGGAGAGAAGTAGGAAAACCATCAAATGGGGTCTGAACTTCCCAGTTCAGAACCTGCAGTGTCACAGGCTGTCCTTCTTCCAGGAACAAAGTGAACTAGATTGCAACCAACGTTCCTGAGCTAGAGAAACTATGGGTGACTGTTCCCTTTTCTGTAAAACATGTGTGGTTTTAGATCCAGGGAATTGGAATAACATCCACTAATCCCTTGCTTAGGGTCCCTTTGGTTTACTGTTCCTGTTAGTTTCTCTTTTGGTTCAAATATCTCCATGACAAGCTTGGGAAAAACTTGTCCATGTATATCACAAAGAAGCCAAAAAGACAGTCAGGGATCTCACCAGGAGCCCTGGGGAAGTGACAAACCAGGTCAGGACATCTTCTTCCTCTGCTGGAGGCCAGGCCTTGCCTGCAGAAGCCTGGCTGCCCACAGCATTCTCCAGGTCCTCCAGGGGCCCAAGAAGAGCAAGTCACCAAGTTCTGGACAGAAGAGGCATCAGAGAGCTAACAAAGCTCCACCTTTGCTGCCAATGAAAGCTAGGTTAGGGAGCATAGCTCAGGGTCATTGCCCAAACGGGTCGGCTAAACCCAGTCCAAGGTCAGTCTCCACCCAGAAGAAGGTGGAATCTGCAAAGCAAACACACGTGCAGGTGGCAGCCTCTGGCTGGCCCGGAAGGAAAATGTAGGACAAGAACGAATGCTTCCAGTGGAATATTACTCAGCCATCAAGAAGAATGACATCTTGCCATTTGCAATGACATGGATGGAACCAGCGTGTATTATGCTAAGTGAAATAAGTCAGTCAGAGAAAGACAGATACCATATGGTTTCATTTATATGTGGAATTTAAGAAACACAACTGATGACCACAGGAGAAGGGAAGGAAAAATAAAATAAGAGAAATACAGAGAGGGAGGCAAACCATAAGAGACTCTTAACTCTAGGGAACAAACTGAGGGTTGCTGGAGGGAAGGGGTGTGGGGGGATGAGGTAAGTGAGTGATGGGCATTAAGGAGAGCACTTGATGTAATGAGCACTGGGTGTTATATGCAACCGATGAATTTCTAAATTCTACCTCCGAAACTAATAATACACATATATGTTGACTAATTTGAATTTAAGTAAAATCTTAAAAAAAGAGAGAGAGAAGAAGAAGGAGAAATGCTACTCATCCTTACTGAGGAGCTGTGGGGATTCACTCTGCCCAATCAACAAACTGGACCCATGACTGTCAGCCACCACCCAAGACCTTGCCCACCTGAGACCACAGAGGAAGCAGTGTGGTAAGAGGCTGGCTGTATGGAGGGAAATCCTTCACAGCAACCCTAAAACAAATGAATGTTCATGGTGGCTAGGAAACCTTATTAAACCTACCAGTTTAGAAAATAGGAATATCTCGAATATTGGTCCCCTGCCTGCCAAGCTTTGGGTTCTAAAGGGTGTTCACTTCTAAGATCTGCTTTGCTAAGGCCTTGAACCTGAAAGTCTAGCAGGCGGGGTGGTGGCCAGGGACAACAGGTGGCTCCCACACCTGGGCTCAGTGTGTGCTTGAGGACAGGGTGGCTGGCCCCTCCCCTGCTGCCAGTGTTTCTGGGAGCCTTGAGCCGCCCACATTCTATTAAACACCTCTCAGATGTTCCAGGGACAGTGGTGATCTGCCCAGAGCCCCTATGCTCTCTTCTCCTTCCAGCTTCCTCTGAGAGAAGATCTGGCCTTGAACCTCTCCCAGTTGGCTGGAGGCTCTTCCCCCTCAGTCTGGTTCCTGCCAGCTCTTTTCCTGCCTAGATTTCACCTCCCCACACATTGCCTGGATGCTTCTAGGATACCCACAAGACCCTGAGAACTATTGTCGCTGCCCTTCCCTTGTTCCCTCCCTCCCCTCCTCCCTCCTCCTTGGATCAAATAGTAGCTTAAGTGTTGCTGGCACTCAACCCATAGAGGCAAAGAGAACTGGCAGGAAATGGGCAACCCTCTCTCAGTGGGCATTTGCCCAGTATGGCTCAATGAGATCAATTAAGGACCTGCCAGGCCCCTGGTGCTAGGTGCCCCTCTCCCTCTGTACTTCTTGGCATCCTCTCATTTTTACTTTTCCCCTCTACTTTCTCTGGCTCACCTCTTTTCTTTGTTCTGCCTTACTGGCTATTTCCCTTCGTCTTCCTCTTTCTATCTCTGGGTGTTACTTCGGGCTTTTTTTCTGCCTCCCCTCCCCTTCACTTCTTCCAATTTCTTAGCCTTTCCTACACATAACTGTAGTCTGGTTGCCTGGATTTGTACAACAGCCTCCTAAAAATCCCTCTGTGGACAAAGCCTCCACCTCTGATTCTTTTTCCACTTTAGACAGAGTAACCGCTTTATGTCACTCTCTGATTCAAGACCCTGCACTGCCTTCCCAGTGCCCACAGGACTGAGTCCAAATTCCAATATGGCGGACAGTGCCCTTTGTCACGTGCCTTTCTCCCAAACACTCACATGTTTATCAGTTTAGCAAACAAATCAATTTAGTTATTGAGCACCTACCATGAACAGATACTGTACCAGGAGTTGAAAATAAAATAAATACAAAATAAACACAAAAATATTGACAAATGAAACCATATCTGCGATTTGCTTCAAAATAATCCAAGGAATCTGGGGGGGAAAAGGTATAGAGAGGACGCAACTGACCATGAATTGATACTTATTGAAGCTGGGTGATGGATATGGGGCTTTATTACGTTATTCTCTCTACCTTGGTATAGGTTTGAAAATTTTCTGTTAAAAACATAATGGGTAAAGAGAACTGGCAAGTACTTTGGCTTCCTTTTTCTCCCGGCTCTCCATGTGCTCTATGCTCGGGATCCCCAAAGCAGCTTATCATAACATTATTACAATTTACAGTTTGTTGTAATTGCTTGCTTAATTGTCTGCCTTTTCTACTAGGCAACAAGTTCTGTGGGCACAGGGCATGTTTCTTGGTTGTCTCCCTATTTTATCCCCAGAGCCTCGCATACACTAGATGCTCAGTAAAAACCCACAGAATGAATGGGTAAGATGAAGTCTGTAGGCTCTCCCAGAATAGCTGGCACAAAGTTGGCCTCACTGCAGGGTCTGGTGGGGGTTGGGTGAGGATGAGGAGAGCTATCTTGGCACTGCCTGAGGCTGGGCACCACAGTCAGGCATTTGTACTCTGGGCTAGCGGCTTGGAGGTAGAATCCACTTAGACTAGTGTCCTAGAAATTTTCTGGACAGAAAAACTTTGACGCTCATTTTGTAAAGTCTGGATTAATGACCTGGTAATATTTTTTCTGACTTTTCAATAGATTACAGAGTGAGTCAAGAATGACATTTAGTGAAAGTTTCTTCTCAATAATACACCACCTGCATCCTGCCATACTTGAACACAGAGCAGATAAGTATAAATTGCATGAGATGACATGATGTCTCTTCAAGAGAAGTGTCAAGTGCAGGACACTTCCACTGGTTGGCATGTAAAGCTGGTCATAGGTCTGTCTCTCAGAGGAAGGCCTTTCCAGAACACTCTACCTGAAGCAGCCACTCCATCCAGTCTTAAATAGCATCAATCACTATCTACAATCACACATGGTGTACTTACTGGTGGTCTGCGTTAGAGTTTGAGCAACCGATAAACAAGGGCTCTGTCTGGTGTTAACCAATGCTGATTGGATCCTTAACTCCACCCTGGGTCTAGAGTCCTGCCCTATGACCCTGCCAGTGGGTGGGAGCTTGGCCCTCACATACAGGCCTCCCAGCTGTCCACGGTTTATCATAGGTATACGGGTCTACCTGGCTCTCTGTCATGGCCCCCTTTCTGGATTCTCTGCCCCACTGCTCCGTCTTCTGGGACAGGCCATTTCTCTGAACCATATTAGACATTGCCAGACCCCTTGCACAGGGTCACCCCTGCCCTAGTTAGGTGCCGCCTTCCCCTACTGCCCTCTCTCCTGTGTGTAAACACACGCAGTAGTCCCTAGCCGTGACAACTGTTACAGTGTCTTGGCTCTTATGGCACATTGGTGGTCATCTCTACAATGTACGTATTGCTGCTTCCTTAGTTGTGTACTCTCAAAGGTAACTCTCGATTATAACTTTGTTTCTTTAATAAAACATGATCTTCTTTATGATGATCAACTATGTGGCAGGGGTTCTAGCATGCCTTGTGGAAAAATTGCATGACAATGACTAACAACCCATTAAAAGACTAGTGATCCTAATTATCCTAATCATAAAAGAATGAAATGAAAAAATATTTTTTTTCATTATGGTAGCACATGACATGACTTTACCATTTTAACCATTTTTAAATGTACGATTCAGCAGCATGTGAGTACATTCATAATGTTACATAACCATCACCACCATCTATTTTCTAAACTCTTGCATCATCCCAAACAGAAACTCTATAACCATTAAGCAACAACTTTGCATTCCCCTCTCTCCCAGCCCTGGCAACTTCTATTTTACTTTCTGTCTCTATGAATTGGTCTATTCTTGATACCTCGTATAAGCAGAATCAGACCGTGTTTGTCTTTTTGTGTCTGGCTTATTTCACTTAGCATTAATGTTTTTAAGGCTCATCCACGTATCAGAATTTCATTCCTTGGTTATTGCTAACTATATTCTGTCACATGTGTATACCACAGTTTGTTTATCCAGTCATCTGTTGACGGACACTTGGGTTGTTTCCACCGTTTGGCTATTGTGACTAATGCTGGTATTATTAAATGACTAACAACTCTAATTACCCTAATTGTAAAACAATGGTATTTAACCTGTTCTTGTGTTCCACCTCTGTTCCAAACATTTCCAATTTCATGCAAAAATAGTGCTTTAAGAAAACTAACTATAAACAAATATTGAACTCTTAGTAATGAGTGCATTTCAAGGGAGGTGAACTGATGTCCACATCTTAATTTAAAATTCATTGAAAATAAGTATGTATGGAGGGATAGGTATATGCATGATACAACACAAAGCAAGTAAAAATTTTAATGGTAGAATCTCTGTGGAGATATACAGTTATATACTGTAAAATTCTTTCAACTTTCCTGTATGCTTGAAAGCTTTTGTATTTTAAAA